AGGAAGGAAGGAAGGAAGGAAGGAAGGAAGGAAGGAAGGAAGGAAGGAAGGAAGGAAGGAAGGAAGGAAAGAAGAAAAGAAAAGGAAAAAAAGAGGGAAAAGCATAAACTCTTCTTGGAAAAGAAACTGGAGTGGCTTGCTATTTCCTTCTCTGGCTCATTTTACAGATGAGGAAACTGAGGCAAACAGGGTAATATCTGAGGCGGGATTTGAATTCAGGAAGATGGGTCTTTCTAAATTCAGCCTGGCACTCTATCCACTACGCCACCTAGCTGCCCTGACTTCCAGGCTACTCTTCTACCAATTGTGTCACAGTGTGCTCTCCCACAAGTATAAATATGGCTAGTTTTGTGGGAAGTATTCAAATAAAATCCAGTTTGAAGGAGACTCATTTTTTATGTAAATTTTGTTAATAACAATGAACTTTAATCATATATGTAATAGATCTTCCAAAGATGATAGAAAGTAATTTTGGTTTGTCAATGTAAATTCAAATTAGAAACCTCCTTGTGCTACAAGTAGATGGATAATCATTCTTTAAGCTAATATATTTTCTAGTATCATAGACATCTTTTTGGAAAGGACTTCTAGAGGTCATCTAGTCCATCCACTTGCTTTCAGACAATACCCATCTAAATAATATCAGACAAAGAGTTGTCTTTTTTACAGTCTTTTAAAAATAGATTTTAATCTTCAATGGGTGGGTTGTTCTAATGACATATTAATTACAATCAAGACATCTTTCCTACAATCTCATCCAAATCCCTCCACTTCTCTTTTCAGTTGAAATAGATTATTACTACTTGGCATGATACGTGGATAAACTTAATGACTCTTGTGAAGTCTCCCCTTTTGATCTTCACCTTCAGCATTTTACACTTACAGGTATTTGGTCCCTTAATAAATGCTTGCTGAGTGAATTGAAATTCTCTGAATAGTCTTGAGTCCTTTAGTCTGTCTTCCTGCAGCCTATTTCCTGACTTCCTTCTGATCCTTTCTTCAATTTGCTTAAATTGCAGTGACCAAACTCAATGACAATCATATTAATCAATATTTGATAGAGTGGGAATATTCTTGAAGTTGCCAAGAATTTGTGGAGGAGCTATTAAACACAGAGCCTAGACTCAGGAGGGCCACAGTCTAGCTGCAAGGCAAAATATCTACTCATAAAACAGTGAATCTTTGAATTAGACTTTGAATGGGGGGTGGGGAGAGTCAAGTCATTGATTAACCTAGACGAAAGAGAAGGTACTCCAAGTGAGAAGGGAAGTATAAACAAGGTACAGAGTCAGGAGCTATAAAGCTATAAAGTTTTATCTTTATGTTGTGTAGCTAAATGAAAGCTCCTTATTGTCTGTTGTTTTTTTTTTTATTCTTAATATTTTTGTCTCTGGGCCTTAACAATGACCTGAACATAGAAGATACTTAACAAGTGTTTGTTTAATTGAATAAAGTATATGTGTTTGGGGGATGGAGGGGGTAGAACAAGCAAAATGGCTTAACTCGGAATATTTCACATGCTTTTGCATGTTAGATTGCTGTTTTATTAATCCCACCATCTACTTTACATTTCTGAAACAACACTATTGAAAATTCTTAGCATACCAGAGCAGGGTTTTATCCCCTCTATTGGTCAGTCCCTCTTCTGACACACATTGGCTGTAGAACCCTGAGCAAGCCACCTAACTTCTAGGTATTCTGAGCATCCTTCTATTGCCATGTTGCAAAAAATGTTCACCCCTATTTGTTTTCACCATCTCCATCCCTTACATTGGTAAAGGGAGCTTCCACAGCTGGGAATTCTGAATACCAATGAAATCACATGCCCAGTGCCTATCCCTATCCCTATCAGTCAATTGCTTTGTTATGGGGAACACTCTGTATTACTAGCTCTGGCAATTCATGTCATCCATGTATGACCATAAAGTATGTAAGATGTGAAACCTATGTCAGAGTGTTTACTGTCTCAGAGAGGGGGAGGAGAAGGAGGGATAGAATTTGGAATTCAAAACTTAAAAAAAAAATGAATGTTAAAAGTTGTTTTTTATGTGTAATTGGGGAAAATAAAATATTTAAAATAAAAATGTATTTGAGAATATGGATAAGTAAAATTCATTACTGTTACCATAAAAGTAACCATCTTAATAATGGTTTAAAGCAGTGTAACTGGGAAGTAATATCGAAGAACATTGGGGTATAATGTAAAGAACACTAGACTCTCCACTAGACAAAACAGTGACTTGCCCTGGCTCTACCAAGAATTGTGTAGTAACAAGAAAGTCACCTTTAAACTCATTAAATTCCTTATGTAAAAGTAAGATCATATCTAACTTCACAGATTTGTTGATTTGCAGTTTTGTAAAGTGCTATATAAATGTAAGCTACCACTGTTTTGTGTCACTATACATTATGCCACTAAATGTAATCATCTGTGCTCATATAATTAAAAAAAAACTTCATTCATAGAAATTAATTGGATTTTTAAGAGTCGACCTTGTGATCTGAACCGGTTCCTTTGGACTTCCATTAAATGTTGTATGTTAGAATGATACAGAAAACCCTGTAGTTCCTCTGATGATTGAAATGTTAAAAGCAGTTGCTCAGTTTTCAATTAACTTAGAACTTCAGTGTTCACTGTTGATGTTATTCAGGTCATTATTTATCCTGCAGGAAGATGAATCTCCCTAAAGCA